GACTGTAGCGTCTGTACATGAGGCGCGCAACATAACCACTAGGCTACTAGCGCCCAATGGTTGCCATTTTTAGATGGATTCATACCTGTTGCTTTTGGTACTTTTTGATGCACTGATCATAAAATAATAGAGAGCGTATCATTTTACAACACGTGGTATCAAAGTAAACACATTTTGACGTCCTTTAGAGCCAGTAATGATTTCTTCATAAGAAGGTGAAAAATTTGAACTCAATTTCCTTCTCTCACTTCGGCTGTAACATTTTCTATAAATTCTTTATAATTTTTTCTCTTGAAAGGGTTTTTACTCTAATATCTCAGCTACACCAGAATCACCCTGCATCTGTCACGTGCTGGTTGGCGACCTGGGACGTTTGTTAGCCTGTATATTAAATTCACCAATTCACAGAGCGTTCTGTGTAATCCTCTCATAAGAGGATGAAGGATAGAGGGAGAGAGGCAGACAGAATATTATATAACACCAGGCGCCATGGTGGTCATTATTTGTCCGCTTGTGTGTGTGCTGAATTGATCCTCCATTGTGCTTTAAGTAAAGCCGTATGCCTCGTGTCAGCCCTCTACAGTCTTCTAAGTGATCTCCCATCAGTCGGCATCTTTTTGGAGCTCATTTGTTTGGGAATACTCGTGTGAGCTTCAGGAGTTTTTTTTTTCTTTTTAAAATGGAGTTTCTGCAGCTCGTCTGTAATTTGGTTAGTGGTGTCTCCCCCCTTCCTCCAAGAGCCGTTCACTCTCCCTGAAGTGAACAGATTGGGTCTCTGTGGGACTGTTTCACCCAGGGAGACATCCTCCTCCCCATCCTGTCACACCACTTTTCTCTCTCTCTCTCTCTCTCTCTCTCTACTAAGAGCACACACGCAGGAGACACACACACAGATACAGACACACACACACACACACACACACACACACACACACACACACACACACACACACACAATGTTCAAACATCCACACGTGTGACCTTCATAGACTCATCCTCTAAATACTCACATCCAGGGTTGTCTCGATACCACAGTTTTCATATCATTCTAGTAAAACTCATATCGATACCTGTTTGCTACCATGGCAACAAAAATAGAAGTCCTCCTGTGCACCGGATATTGACCAAATATCTTCAACAACACGTAATCAAAACTCGCAGGAGAACTTGTGCACATTGTCTAAATTGCACAAAGACATTGGCAACATTACGGTCTCTAAAACAACGTATTTATGCCCTTTAAGACCGTGTCCTCTCTCCCAGCGTGCAGGAGTTTGATGGATTCATTCCTCTCCTACACACCTGTCGTATAAAATAGATTTAAAGCTCAGGTGTTTTTGGATTTGATCAATCATTAAAGTAACAGATTGAGTTGTTTGAGAGCACATTGTATCCAAAAAAAGCACCTTGACAACCTGACTCAGGTCATGTCACTCCACTACAAACACACACGCTGCTTCTTACTTCCTTCTGAAATAGATGGTGTGTGTGTGACAGTAGATGCAGCATAAATGTAGTTTGTAGGGTACAAACATCTTTTTCTGCCAATAACCGGGTATGCTGAGTGGAGTGATCCCTTTCCAAAGCGCTCGGCTTTTACAGATCCGTATAAACCTGTGTACATGCCACTACTTTCACTCATAACACAGACATACAAATGATAAAAAAATAAAAAAAAATAAAAAATTGTGTTTTTTTTATTTGTGAAGTCTTCAAAAGCAGCCCGGATACAGCGTGATTTCTTTCCGCCTCAGTGATATTTTGCTGCCAGCAGAGCGGCCATCTTTACGCTTGACATCCAGTCCAATAGCTCTGACGTTATCACCGCCGTAATCACAATGTTTTTACTGTAATCATCACCAAAACCCCTGAGCTGAAGTGAGGCAGCCCCATGCATCAGTCCTAATATCAGACCTGTTATTACATGTGAGTAAGTGCAGCGCTGAATTTCACAAGTTTCCATAAACATGACACCAGGGAACCCCTCTGATCGTGCACATGGACAGAGGAGGGAAGCCAAGAAGCAAAGCTGCTCTGTGCCTCGGTGCTTTTAAAGTATTAATGTCACGAGAGTAGTGTGATAAATAAAACAACAACTGACAAAAGAAATTACTCGGATTAAGAGAATGCCAAAGAATTTGCAACATTTGCAGAAGTCAGAAAGATAAAAAAGAATCAAGCATACGTTGATCTCGTTCTTATTTCAATATCTGATTTAGACATTTTCCATGGAAGCCTGAAGGGGACATGCATCAGTGCATTTTATTTAACTCAGTGTTCCTGCTGTGATAATGAGTAAACCTTGATTGTTTTGTTGACTAATTTATCTTTTTATCTCGGGGTTACAGCGCTGGCTTTCCTGTGATAACGTCTTCATTTCAACAGTTTTCTCATGATATCGTTATAATGTAACAAACCAGCGTTGCTTTCCCAAGAGAATGAGACAAGACAAGATCTCCAGTAAAACAACCAAATGTTACCGGTTATCAAAGGAAAATTGAGTAAAATAAAATATATGGATGTGTGTCCTCTTAGGGCTCCCGTACACGTTTCAGAAAAGGTTACGGAAAATGTTGCACTTCACTGAACGTACCATAGATTAAAAATGGATTAGCTGTTATGCTCTGCTTTGTGAGTTATTGTGAAGTGAAACATGAGCTCTCCTTGTGAAGCCGTGCGATCCTGCTGATGCACACAAACAAAAATATTTGTGAGTTTAATGACATGAAGCAAAAATGTCCACTGGATCTGATTATAAAGCTTTAAGATGCAGATATAAAATCATGATAAGATGACAGTTGAAATATGATATTTCTTGGAGAGCTGTCGAGGAGGTGGATAGATGATATTTAAACATCCATTTGAAAATGTTAAAGTGGGAAAAGTGAGAGTGGAGACGTGGAGTGCACTTGACCTTACAGTGCTGGAGTTTATTGCTTACCTAGTGGAGTTTAATATAGAAACAGGAGATGCATTCTGATGGAGAAAATGTTTAAATAATAGATGAACTTCTGGCTGCTTTCATCGGAAGGGATTTTGTCTGTGAGGTGGTGAGATTGCACACTGTGCAGGGATGTCCTGAGCTCAACGTGCACCAGATTCACAAAAATCTGGACAGGATATTCACCTTTTCTGATGCAGCCACTGCCCAGTGCTTAACACATAAAAAAAAAAAAAAAACGAGTTCAGTGGCTAAGCCGGGGAAACGGCCACTAAAACCAATCTGGATGCAATCTCAAACATCACATCTCTCATAGCATGAGCCGCGGCCGTGCACATGCACATGATGCATGGCACACGACCAGTAAGGGAGAACAAGCCTGAGATTTGCATGTCTGTTAATCTGGGAAACTTATCTGCACTGGTTTCTCAATGGATGGACGGATGGATGGATGAAAGGATGGAGAAGGAGGAGGAGGAGGAGGAGGAGGGAGCGGCTAGAGGAAGTGACATGGGCCAGGATGGAGAGAGTGGGAGGGGAGAGTTTAGGGATTTGCGTGGCTCGACAGCTGGACTGAAAAACAGGCTATTTCAGGACGGGATTTATACGTTTGGTTGCTACCTCAAATCCTGAGAGAGCAAAGCTTAAAGCGATGGTTATTGCATGAGGTTCTATCGGTGTCTTTAATCTGTCCTTTTTTACTGAAATATTGCCAGAACACCAACCGCTGCTGCAACTTCTGTACTGATATGCAATTAATTAACGCAAATACACCAATTTAACACGTTTAAAAAAAGAGAAAAGATACTAAATTTAAATATTTGGATGTTTTCCTTATATTATATTTGAACAGATTCAGCTCAGGCCTGGAGAAGTTTTATACAAATGTAGACATTTTGTTAACAGACAGAAAATGTCTGAGAAAATCTTAAAATCACAATCTCCTACACTCCATGGTAAACTCATTTTCTCTAAAACTGATCAAAGAAAGCTGAAAGTGGAAATCAATGGATATGTAATGTTTGAAAAAAATGTGCTGTTGCCTTTTCAATTTCAGTAAATCATATTCTAAAGCTTTAATCAGCCCAGCATTAAACTACTGCAGCGGTGATGAGCAATGGTCGTTTCTGTTTCTTTTTTGAGCAACAATGTGGTTAAAGCAAAGAAGAGAAAGAAAAATGTAACATCTGTCCTAAGAAGCAAACAGATTTTGTAAAGAAGTTTATCATGTCTTAAAGTTTCATATTCACCCAAATTAAATCAGTAAATTAAGAATGATATAAGCTACAAATATAACCCATGTAACACTTTCTGACCTCAAGACAAAGGAGAAATATATATATAGATAGATAGATAGATAGATGGGTAGATAGATGGATAGGTTTTAGGTTTTGTGACTTTGGTTGCATCTGCTCAGCACTCTCACTCAGCCATGCCGTGCCAATAACGCACGGATCCATTACGTAACCACACTTTCTTCTTGTCTCAAACATCAATACTCTCAATCCACTCTGAGCCGAGCCAAATCTGACAACAGTAAGTCCATGTTTTAGTATTTAAAAAAAATGAAATGTACGCGATAAAGAACGAAACCAAACCTCCATGTCGTCCACATGCACTCTATGACGAGCTCACTGCGCTTCCAGTGCGCATTTCTCATCCAGATTATAATTCTCCATACTCAGATTCTCTTTTCAAACCGTGTACATTTGCGCAATATTTAAGTTTAAAATAACAAAGACAAAAAAAAGATTACTTTCAAAACATTTCACACACTTTTATCGATTTGATTACTTTAAAATCGCTGCGCAAAGCTGCACTTTTCCCGCTATCTGCGTGATGTTTGCAGCGTTAATACCACAGGCGCCTCTTTTCCTCTTTAAAAATCAATAACAAGGAAACTTTTTCCTACTCTGGAGAGTAACTGTCCGGAGGAGAGAGGATGCGAACCTGCAGCAGGATGAACAGCAACTAAAAAACAACAGCAGCCCTCTGCTAACGCGTGAAAAACGGACAAAAGTCAGAAGTGGAGTCAGGAATATTTAGGATAGTTGTGTACCTGTTAATTTTCCCCAGAGTTTTGGCAGCGGCCGCCTTAAACCTGTCTGGTCGGATCTCCATCCTTGCAGCTTCTTGACCCGGCCGGTGTGCTGATGTCCCGCGCGCCCTCCTGTCCTGCCTGAGCGCGCACACTCCTCTCCCTCCCTCCCTCTTTCTCTCTCTCTCTCCCCCCCCCCCCCTCATCCCTACCTATCCCACAGCAGCCGCACTTCACTCTCAGATGGGCCAGAGGAGAATGAAGGCCTTTCTGATTCACTGTGAGGGATTTCATTCAGCCTGTGGTCCAAATGATTGTACTGTGAGTTATAGTAAAGTTATAAATTATTTCTAAACATATGAATAATTACTATCATCTTAAGAAATCAATTTAATCTAGTTCGCCCTTGTTGTATCACTGATGTATTAATTGAATTATTGTTTTTTAAAGTTGAAGGATATTTCTGTCTGGCATTATAACTGAGATTCATCCTGATCTTACACCCTAATGAGACGGCAGGTTATGGATTGAAATGCATGTTGTAAATGGCTAGCACATTCACCATATTATACTATTTAACAAACTATGCATGAAAAGTGCAGAAACATCTGTGTGTGTCATCTCACAAACTTTAGCTGTGAGTGAAAACATTCACAGAATATTTGAACATTTCTCATTCAGAAAAGTGAATTCTTGACTTTTGTAGAGAGACGGCTTTATACAGAAAATCAAAAAAACATGCACAAACATTCAGTCTACTCTGTCGTATGCTAAATAAACATTAAAACATTACAATATGCCACATAAACAGCCTCATAAATGTTACATTGTGAGGTGTTGGTGGTGTGTAGAGCCCTATAAAAGCACATCCAGTCAGTTTGCTGCCATCTAGAGGTTTATTGAAATCCTCACCTGTAGTACAGTACAACGAGTAAAAACATTGCTGTGGTCTTATGAGGTAATAGAATACAAATAAGAGATATTTTAAAGACATTTCACATCAAACAAAGGAATAGAAATGCTAAAACACACACACACACACACACACACACACACACACACACACACCCACACACACGCACACATGCAAAACCCATCACAGTTTATCTGATGATACTCGTCATAAAACAGTTTTTTCTGTCTGTTGCTGCCTTACTCATTTCTCCAGCCACGGTTGTGATTCCACATGAAATAAGGCGAGCACTTAGACAAGCAAAGCATATCTTTACATGCCCGGAGCGAGTTAACCTCCACACTAACATCTTTACATGAACTCTTAAGTATACAAAATATAGCAGCTTCTCTTTCCTTTTCCATGAGTCTGGGAGTGTTTCCGTTAGCTGAACAGTTTGAGCCACTCAGAAAATGAGTTAAAAGGAGGAGTTGGTAGTGTCACAACTTCATAATCTAAAAAGCACCTGATGATCTAACTATGTACAGGATATATAAATAGTTAAAATACTTCTAGCCTGTTAAGAGGCTACAAAGACTCGTCGTCAGATTGAGGATGAATCTCTCTTTTTTTTGATCGCCCTTCACCCTGCAGGGTCCTGCTCGTTTACTCTGAGGCTCAAACATTCAAACATTTTCTGTCTTCACACACAGCGACCGCTCACACTCCTGTGTCTTGTTCCTCATCGTCATCCTCCCCGTCCTGGGGCAGGAGCCGGTATAGTTCGTGACCCAGCGGCAGGAAGACGACCCTGGGCCGGGCCTCGTCCTCCTCAGACGGGTCTCTGCGGTGGGAGTTGGAGTCCAGCTGCTCGTTGGAGCTGCACTTGGTGTACAACTCCCGGTGCACCTCGGGGCTTTCTCCCTCCTCGGACCGACTGTTGCCGCCCCTGCGGCTTTTCCACATTGAGAGGAGGTAGCCAATGGGTACGGGCAAGCAGGCGATGACCATGAGCATGATGATCATAGCCAGGGCCCAACCCGGGTACTCCAGAGTCATCTCAGACGCCTGAACAGAGGAAGAGACACAGCAGGTCAGCGAGAGAAACGTGCAATGCACAGTGTACCTCAAAGTGTAACCATCACGATACAACATGATACAAACTTACATCTCTTACCTCCAGCAAGTATTTTTACATTCAGTTGACAAGCCTGAATAAATGTTGTATTTCATTTTTTTTTTTTAAACCTGTAAGAATGTTAAGATGTATAAATCTCTTCTTATTCAAATTTTTTCATATTTTAAAGGCTTTATATGCGATTTTTTTGATCCAGCAGATGTCGCCCTTTAGCACCAGCATGAAACCAAAACAACTCGCGCTGCATTGTTGTGTTAGCATGCTAATGCTAGCGATCTTTATTATGCTCGTATCTTCACACTGCATGTAAATTTACCTGAAATGATCATGATCTAGAAACGCAGTTAAGCAGTGAGTACAGTATGTTACTCTTCTTTTCTCTAGTCCCTCAATTAAACAACTTTTATACGTGAGGGGAGGAGTCAGCCGGCCATCCAGGCGATGTAAACAAACTGAAGATAGGACTCTGAAAACTCTGAAAACTCCACAGACAGTGGGACTCGGGTGTTACACCAATTGTAGACAGTCATGACTCACAGAGTTATTTTCAGAGGATATACTTGATTTCTATTACATTTAAATGTGAAAAATTGCATATAAAGCCTTTCAGTGCTTATTTACTATGTATCTATTCTTTTATTGTTTTATTTGCTCTGATAACCTGCTGCTGTAACACCACAATTTCCTAGTTTGGGATCAATAAAGTAATTCTATTCTATTTTATACAAGTGACCTCCAACCAAAATAATGCTTCATAGAGACCATAAAAAAGGAGTAAAGACACAGGGTGAAGGAGCTTTCCAACATCTTCTATGGTGCAAAATCTTGTTGAATATGTCACACCTGCAGGTAAATATTAAAGGCTATTACTAGAATAAATGATTCTGTATGGGACAGTGTTCCGGTCTCTTACTGTGCTCTGGTTCCAGGCCGTGTATGTGGGTCTCTTGAAGACCATTCGCAACAAACTGGCTGCCAGAAGACCAACCAACGACAGCAGACAAACGTACTTCCAAAGATATTTGTACACCACCGGAGGGCGCCAGTTGAGCATAACTTCAATATCATCAAGAAACCTGCAGTGAGGGAGGACATCAGAATGAGAGGCATGGTTTTTTCTAAAGGACAGGAGAGGCAGAGATGATTTAGATTTCACAGGTAAGAGCTGATAGAAGTTTTGGTTTCTTACCGATCCGTTCCATAAACCCAGGCCACACTGATGGTCTCGAAGATGACCACGATGATTAACGGGAGAGTCGCAGAGTAGTCGTCAAACATCGCCACAAAATAGTTTCCGGAGCGCTGCGTGAACAGCAGGCCCAATAAGAACCCCAAAGCACAGCTGGACACTGAAAAAAGACAGAAGACAAGTTTAGTGCAATGAATGAAGGTTTGTCTGTCTGATGTAAAACACTTTGGTATATTTAAACCTTGAAAGGAAACCTGTGGTAATGCTGTGTCACAATTTATTATTAGTCTGTAATTCAAAGTAAGATTTCAAGTGGAGCTGCTAATCGACAATTACTGAATCGTCTTTGGAGGAAATATCTTTGCAGGACGTGAAAGAGATCTTACTATTCTTTAAAAAAAAGGGACAAAATGTGTCTCCTAGGGGAGAAATGTTTCCAAATGTAGCTGTACAAATCCTCAACCCGATCAACAGTCAGTAAGAACAAACCGACGAGTGCCTGTTACCAGTGAGCAGAGTCCGGTGGCGGCCCAATAGGCTAAAATTATCCATGAGAGGTGTGAGGATCCCCTGCATGGTCCCGAACATGCTACTGAGCCCCAGGTTGAGCAACATGAGGAAGAACAGAGTGGACCAGAAGGGGCTGGCGGGGAAAAGAGCCATCACCTCGGTGAAGGCGATGAACGCCAGGCCTGTGCCTTCAACACCCTGTGCTCGTGCAAAAAGACAGAAAACAGAGAGGGGAGAAAAAAAGAGTTATAAAGTCTGACTGATGATTGCAAATAAACTCATGACATGTTTTAGTCACCAGCGGAGGAGAGCAGCATCGAGACGGACAGCTGAAGTCTCTGCAGCAGGCGGAGCCTCCCTCATGACTTCACATTAAAACATCTTTTCACATCATTCTCTTTATGGCTGGAATTTTAAAAAAAACGCACGCCTCCTGTGCATGTATTTTTTAGAAAAAATTAATCTGTAAATCTGCATTTTCTTTTGATGCCCCAAATTCGTGGAACGCCCTCCAGCAAACTCTAAGGATCGGAGTTCTTCCCTCTCTTCCAGAGTTCAGGAATTTGATTTCGAACAACTTTGTTTCAAATTGTAACTGTTTTAAATGATCTCAGTGGTTTTTGTCACAGATTCTGAGTGTTTGATGTGTTTTTGCTCGTTTTACTGTGCTTGTAATCTCGACGGCGTTGGAAATGAGGGAAACCTCAGTGTCTTTCCGAGAATAAATAAAGGTTTGAAATGAAATTAAATGAGTAAGGCATTCTTCTGATAACACAAACCCTCTTAGATAACATGACATTTAGTACCCCTTCATATGTTTCTTTAGTTTCTCTTCTCACAGCTTGAATCCATCTCCGCTAGTAAAAATACTAGATACAGTGTCCCGTATGTTTTCTTCCTCCTGCCTGCTGGATATCTGACAGCACCTCACAGATTCCTGTGGGGTCCTGGGAACCTCGGCACTCCTCCTGCTTACTATTGTTATTGTTCACCTCACCAGAAGCCCGTGTCCAGAGCCTGTTAGAGCAACCTGTGGTGACGCCTTCCTCGCTCAAAAATGTGGCCTTGAAAACAACGTTTATGAAAAGTGATTTTAAGCGCTACACGTTTGGCCTGACCCTTCTCCGGATAAAAACACTTTTGTTAAGACAGTTCATTGAAATTTCAAAGTTACCTTTTTCATCTCCTCCTCCAGACTGCAGTCGGTGATGTTGGCGCCCATCACGGCGCCGTGCTCACTGTACCACTGTCTGTAGTCAGCCAGAGGGACGGAGCTGGGATCGGCCGTGTCGATCCAAGGCCAACCCTGTTTGACCAAGTCCTGGTTCCACTCTTGAGTCGTCATGATGTTTAGAAGACCCAGATTTCTGCGAGAGTTTAAAATATAAAAGTAGCAGTCGATAAGAGAGGCATTA